TGCATCTCCCTGATTACTAAGGATGTTGAGCATTTCTTTAGGTGTTTCTCTGCTATTCAGTATTCCTGTATTGAGAATTTCTGTTTAGCTCTGTACCTCATATTTTTTAATTGGATTACTTGATTGTTGCTGTTTAACTTCTTGAGTTCTTTATATATTCTGGATATTAGCCCTCTGTCAGATATAGCGTTGGTGAAGATCCTTTCTGAAGTATCTTTATAATTACTGGAGTCAAGATTATTTGAAATAAAATGAGTCTGGATTCTGGCTATTCCTACTGTTTCTGTGGTGAGGTTCATAGGTGCACCTCCGTTCCATGGCTAGTTCTAGAAGGGGTTCTTGGTTTAACTGTTAGATGTCTCATAGTAAGTTTCTGGAAAAGTAAGAGTAGAGATGCTTTCTTCACAGGAAACTGGTCATTGCTGCTGTGTCATTGTGTGATGTACTAAATCCTCACAGCTCATTCTACAAGCACATGGAAAGGGCTTACTTAGTAGAGTGGACCTGGAGAGATAATTCCTGATTCTTGGAGAGAGATTTTTAGTTAACTAGTTCCTACATGAATCTACATCACCTCTCTGTTCATGAGAGTTCAGCTGTTCCTGACTGTTATGCACTGTGTTGAGCTTTGTTCTAGGATCACTTCCTGTAGTATTAGCTGGAGGAACAGTGATTGCCCATAGAAAACCTTCAAGATTGAGCCTTTGACCTCTGAGGAGGAGACCCACCACTCCATCCTGCCGCCCTTCCACTTGTGGGGATTTATGTCCCAGCAAAGTCTTAGGAATGGAGGTTTGGAGTTTAACTGACTTTGCCATATGCAGCAATGGGGGACAGGATAGTTATGAAATTGAATTAGTGATTTTGGTGAATGATTCGTTGTATTTGGGAGTCGGGGAGAGGAGGGGTCTAAATGATTCCCATATTTTTTGTTTGGATATCTTTGGAGAGGATTCTGTGACTGTATATGTTAAGGGCTGTAACTTCAGTTCTACACATCCTAAATGGGAGGCGTTGTACTGTTGAGAAAGTGGTGTGGGGAAGTGGGTGAGTATATATGGGTAATGATGTACTTCATGAAGAGACCTAAGCTGTAAGAAGTTGTAATACACAAAGTTGAAGTAAGTGGTGTACATTAGATTTCCTGTGCACAACAGGAAAGAGAGAAGTATGTAGCTTTAGAAAGCACTGCCATTTGTTTGGAGGAAGTTGTGGCGAAAGTGGAAGTGGAAATAGGTCATAGAAATGACACATTTCAACCTACAGCCTTTCCAAAGCACTTCTAAGACCAGATGTGGATTTTAGAATATTTCAGGAAGATTGTTTCTTAAGTGCTTGTTTCAGCTTAGATGCTGCATGGTAGCTTTCTGGGTGAGTGGACTGTCTGTCCAACACTAGCATTTACTCTTCTCTTTCACAAGATGGCTTCTTTACAAGGCTGTAGGTGAGCTACATTCTGTGGGACAAACACTTAATAAAGACGTTTACGGTGGGGACGAGGGAGGGTAGGATTGGGAGGGAAGGAGGAAGGGAGGTACAGGGGGGATACAAATTGAATAAAATTTAATTAATAAAAAATAAAGATTAAAAAAGAAAAAAAAGACATTTACGTGAATTACTTCCAATCATTAATATTATTAGTTGTCTTATTTTGCAAAGAACATGTACAAAATATTCATTATTGTCCATTGGTATTTTGATCTAGATAATTTCATATTCTAGTTCATTCTTTTTGTTATTTGTTTTTATCTTTGACACGTGTTAACAATTGTGATTTTTTTTGTGTGTGTGAGAATAATATATTTTTATTAAAATATTCTGAAACTATTTTTTTTTCTTGGTTTAGGAAATTTTTGTAGAACTAAATTTTTTTAGTAGCACAAGAAACTTATCTCTGGTTTATGATCAGCAGTATGGTAAACCTAAGTAATCTATGAACACATATCTAGAAGTAACTGTGTGTTTGTGTGTGTGTGAGAGAGAGACAGGAGAAAGGAGGGAGAATTAGAATATAAAACCTCATAGTTATTTCTAATATATGTAGATTTTCAATATAAGTATGATTTTCAATTATCACTGTTATTAAAATGACTCAAGGAAAAAAGCTGAGTCCATTTTTTCTCTCTTTAACCCCTCCCCCTTTATAACTTTAGTTTATAATGCACCTGTAATTAAGGAGGAAACCACGTCCTTGGAACTCGATAGGACTTGAGCTATTGATCTGTGTGCACCCTGCCTAGAGTGTCAGGGGAGAGCAGTCAGCAGCAGAGCTGCTCTGTCACTGACGTGAGCTGAGAGGATGTTTTTTTCTATACTCTTTATACACTTGTCTATAGACCTGCTGGCTGGTTGAATTTTAAAGAGTGAAGAGGTTTAAAGACTTGTCCCCTGAGGGACGCTACTGCCAGTTGGGAAGCGAGCTGAGGCTGTTTGCAGAAGTGTGCTGCATGCATGTTGCTTATGGAAAAGAGGGGGTGTTTGTGAAAGATTTAGCAACTCAAGGAGAGGCTGCCTTCTTAATTTGAGCATGAAAATTTATGTGAAATATACAGCTAATTTACATATATTCTGAGGTAGAGATTGACTCTGAATATGTTACATTTTTCTGAATTATATGGGTAATTTTGAAGGAGTTTATCTTACCATTGTAGTTGTAACCATGGGTAAATGGCTTCATGTTGTGTGACCAAAGATAACGACTAAGCAACAATAAAATGAAAACAACTGTCCTCATTTCAAATAAGCTGTTTTTCAGTAATTTATTTCATGTCTAGTGACTTCTTTAATAACATTTAGCAAAATACTATCAAGAGTAAAATAACTTTCTCTAAACATGGGCCTGTGTTCGAACTTTTAATGGTATGCATTCATAAGAAAGTCTGATTCTCACCCTAAGGCTTGAAGGGTTTTTTTTTTTTTCCCCCTTAATATGATGCTTTTCTTTCTGCTTCTCTGAGTTAGTTCTCTTGACACTTTCTTTGGTATTGCTATTGGATTTCTACAGTATTTTATTTTTAACTGATAATTGTAGTATGTATTTTTAAAAGGTAAGAAATTCTACTTAGAAATACTCAGTACTGTATTTCCATAGAAGGTTCTTGCATTTGGATCTGTCTCATTTTACTAGATTTTAGTTTTATTGGTAAATGGCATTTGTGGAAGTGTTGGCTTTGCTTAAATATTTGCTCCTTTGCTTCCTTACAGGAATTGTGTTCAGTTTTTGCGCCTAAGATGCCCTACTTTAATTTGTAATTATAGGTAGAACTTTAGGCTCAGTTAAATTTTAATGTATTACTCAGCTGTATCAAAGTAGGTCTTCTTTTATTTTTCCAGCTGTCTGACTGTTGCTTGAATTTTATTGTAATTTTAAATAAATATTATCTCTAAATTTTAATGAGATTATCATCTGTTTTAGTAAAACATTGATTTTAAGTACTTACTATTTTAATATTTGGCTATGAGAGACTTATTTTAGTACACACATTTAGGAGGGCTATTTGAAATGAATTTAGCACCGAGTATTTAAAGATGTAAATGTATGTTTCACACTCTATACAAAGTCTTATAAATTTTTTTGTAGTTTTTAAAATACTATCATATGGACATGCAGAATTGTCAGAGCTTTTAGTAATTTATTCTGCTGCCAACTTCATTCCCTTTCTCTGCCTGCGTTTTAATTGAAACAACATTTGTATTTTTGAGGCAGAATCTGTGAAAAGTCCCTGTGGCTAGCCTGTGGTACAAGCAGCAGCAGACATAGCTTGCCCATCTGGCGCCTTGCTCCATGTGAGATCCATATGGCCTTGTTGAAGGGACCCCAGCAGGGCTGCGGAGGGCGTTAATGCCCCTCCGGCCAGGCCGGTCCCTCCTGGGGCTTCCGGGCATTGTCAGCACAATCTGCTAAAGCACACTCTTAATTCCTTTTTAATAATCAATTATTTCAGTCTGAGAATCTGTGCCTTTGTCTTAAAAATACTTCACCAGCTCCTTGAAATTGTCTCAAAAGTTTTAACTGCATCTTTAAAAAATCTTCTAAAGCATCCTCTTTATTTTGAATTTTCATTTGTAGGAAGTACTGCAGAGCGTGCCCAAGTTCTGTTTTCCCTTTGACGTGGAAAGGTATAGTATAAGTTAATAATTAAGATCACTTTATCCTTCCTTTCTTAGCACACATTTCAAAAACATTAAATATACATTTTAAGAAAATGGCATATACCTTTATTCTTCTGTGCAAACCCGGGAGATGTGAGATTCAGAATTAGATAATGTGGACAGTGACAAAACCTTTCAGATTATTCCATGTTTTACTTCCTCCTCCGTGTCCAGTATAGTGGTCTTAAAATGACACTGGCCACAGGTTATATTTCTCCTCCTTATTCTTTAGGTATAGACTGTGAGCACTAGCAGAAAAAAAAAAGTTATTGGTCTTTAATCAGACCTTCAGATGTTCCTTTAAAACTAGACCTTTCCCTGCTTTCCTTCCCTGTTCATCCTAACTGGAAGAGTGTCTGTGTGATGTTGTGAGCTCACTGTTAGTTTTCTCCCAGAAACAGTGTCATAGAACCTGCTACTGAGGGTGGCTGTGGGAAACTAACGCACTAACTTTGACAGCTTCATTGTGTTTATAGTTCACTGCAAACACTAAATGAACTTGTATGCAATTGCAATTTAATATGATAGAAATCTCTTTGGACATAATGACATTTATTGTTTTTCATATGACTTATCACTATTATTAGTTATATTTTAAGAACCTACTAAAAAGTTTTTAAAATAAAAATTATTTTATGCCAGGCTTGGTGATACACACCTGTAGTCCCAGCACTCTGAGAGGCAGAGGTAGGTGGATCTCTGTAAGTTTGAGGCCTGCCTGGTCTACAAAGTGAATCCAGGACAGTCAGGACTACACAGAGAAACCCTGTCTCGAAGAAAACAAATAAACAAACAAACAACAACAACAAACAAACAATTATTTTAGGAAGAAAGTATAAAATAAAGGAAAAAAAATCCAATAAGATATTATAAATCTTGAACACCAGAAACATATTAATCACTGGAGGATTGATTTGAAGTATTTAAAACTAGAAAATACACAGTCCATTTAGATGTGTCCTTGCCCCAGCCATTTCGATATGTACCTGTTCAATAACTGGTAGTTTGTGACAAAATAATTTATACTTTTAGAACACTGGTAGTAATTTATTTAACTTTTCAAAATACGTATGACTTTTAAAACCAAAATTTTTATGTCATCAATATTTTATTTTGGGACAAAGAACATGAAGTTCAATTGGGGTTTTATGAGCCAGTATCTGGAAATATGCTAATGCATTTTAAACAGAGGTAAGCATTTTGTCTAGTGATTTATACCATCCCTTATGCTGAAGTGTGACATATAATTTGGTTCCCTTTTATTTATTTCAAAATCAGGTAAAGTCATTACAGACCAAATAGGCTTCTTCAGTAGGAAGTGGTTTTTTTGAGACGATGTTTGAATGTGTCCCTTGTTGACAGTTTTAAAAGGTAATGCTAAGGAAGATGCCTGTCGCGCTTGGCGTGGTGTACAGCGGGTGAAAATGTCAACAGAGGAAGCCAATCAGTACGATGGTGGTCACCCTTAGAGCATGAAGCAGCACAGTTTGCTATCCAAGCAGTTAAAAATTTGGAAAAATAGAATACTGTAGAGAGATAGGCTAGAGGTAAGTGCAGAGACAGAATCTGTTGAGAGTAACCTAACCTTGGCTCCAACCTCATCATGTATTTTTATGGGTAACTTAATCTTCTGAAAATATAGGATGAACTTTGATTTCCAAGTGAGGCATTTAATTATGGTAACGTGCTCTACCCCTGAGCTGTTAGGACTTACTGTTGTGCTTGACTCATAACTCCTGAGTTGGTTTACAGATCATGCCTCTTCTAGTTATTGAATATCAGTCCAGCTTCTAAAGCCCAGTACTGGAAAGGTGAGACCCATGTCAAGTACTAGTCTTGCCTTTTTATCTACAAGAAAATGAGCACAGATTTAATACTATGATGTTGTTATACCTTAGGGCGTCTCAGAATCAAGTTGGACAGCACTTTACCTTCGTTCTGACAGACATTGAAAGTAAGCAGAGGTTTGGGTTCTGCAGACTCACATCAGGAGGCAGAATCTGTTTATGTATTCTTAGGTGAGTAATTATAATCACAACGTGGCTGGAAATACATTTTCCTTTTCTCCATCATGCTCAGGATCCCAAAAAAGTCACAACAAAGCAGCTTTTTATACTTTATTTTCTCTACTTGTTCAGTCTAAATCCAAGAAAGTTGAGAAAGTATTTCTCTTCTGTTCCATATACAGAATAAATTGTTTACAGTAACATATTACATATTAGAATTTTTCTTAAAAGAACTAAACATTTTAAAGATTAGGTATTATGGATTTATTACTGAAAACTAAATATTAACATATGAGTAGTGGTATGTGTAAATAGAATAAAACTTAATAAAGTCAACGCATGCTCTCTTCTGTCATTGATGCACATGTGACTTTTGTGAATGAACTGCTGTTTTGAAGCAAAAATTTCAAACTTGTGTTTGCAGAAGAAGCTAGAGAGTTTTGTTAGGCTCCTGGGTATTTTAAAATATTTAAAAGATGTTGTTAACCTTACACATTTTAGGAAGTTTTACACAAGAAGTTCCTAACTTCTTTTTAGAAATAGAGATATTTGCTAATTACAGATCTTACCTATCCCAGTAGAAACAATAAGCTGGAATAAATGGGGTTTTAGTTATATGATGATCTTGCTAGATTGCATTGTGTCCTTCTGCACAGAACTGTGATTGGAGTTGTTTGCAGTTGAAAAAGAAGCATTTTAACTTAGTTCCTGTAAGATGTCAGTGGTGAAGGAAGAATCCAGATGTAGCACATAAAAAGTAGAATTCTTCACCTTTTCACCGAAGATAGTGGTAGCCTGGAATACTTAATAAATAAAGCATTTTTACTAAAATGCTTTAGTAAAAGAGTAAAGGATAGTGATAGAAATGATAATAACACTCAAATTGCAGATTCATATTTCATGAGGAAAACCTTGTGTAATAGTTACTTTTCTCTTTCTGCGATACAACACCGTGACCAAAACAACTTATTGAAGGAAGACTTTATTTTGGGCTAATGGTTTCAGAAAGATGAAAGTCCATCAGATCATCATGGCAGGGCATCATGGCAGCAGACAGCAGGCACGATGGCAGGAACAGCTGAAAGCTCACATTCCAAGCCATAAGCAGGAAATCAGAGCGCCAACTCAAATGGTGCCAATGTTTTTAGTGCTCAAAGCCCACCCCTAGTGACATACTTTCTCCAGCAAGGCCACACCTTGTAAGACTGTCAGGACAGCCACCAACTGGAGACTGAGTATTCAAAAGTATTCAAATGCCTAAACTATGGGGGCATCTCATTCAAACAATCATACCATGGCATAAAATTGATGGCCTCTCAGTTCATTTGGTATCGAGGTGAATTTGTCAGTCCCTGATACTCACATATGGTAGTGCATGCCTATAAAAGTAACACTTAGAAAGTGAAGCAGGAGGATTGCAAATTTGAGGCTAGTCTCTATATAGTGAGGCCTGAGATTTAATAAAAATACTCCAAACAAATGTTAGAGCTGAGGATTCTACCGTTCCTTATTATTTTTGATGACCCATTTGAAAAAAAGTTATAGACATTATTTGTTTAGATTTGAATCTGCATTCAGTAGTTTACCCAACTACCTTCAAATTGAATTTCTGATACTATTTATAATTAAAGAGTTTGAACTGTTCCCTGTTTTTAACTCAAAGTATTTTTAATGTATTGAACCTTTTTCTAAGCCAAAATAATTATTGAATACTCACCATACTTTATATAGGTTTCTTGTAATTTTTAAATTAAGAAAAGCTATCAATATTTTAAAATTTATGTAAAATATGAAATATATTTCTTGTTAAATGATTGAGAAAAATGTGTAATGTATATGTATTTGTAAGCCAGTTGTCATTAATTTGTAGAAGTTATTTTGTTAACTCAAACTTGTATATTTGGACCCCTGACTTACTTGCAAAAATGTGGTTATATTATGTGAAAATAATAAATGAACAGTAAAAACATGTCAATAAGATAGCCTTTTAGTGAGCATCATTGGTTATTTGATTTTTATTAAAGTATTCTTTTATATTTAGTCTCTTTTTTATTGCTTGCCAGTGATTTTGGTGGGTAGGGAATATGATGAGTCATATATGGTGAGACATCCTGGAGAAAACTTTAAGTGTTTCAGCCTTCATGGACACTCTCCATGTTTATCCTTCAAAGTCAGGGCATCACAGTGGTCTTTGAGAACAGTTAATTTATAGAGCTATTAAACCGTAAATAGGGAATGTAATGATTGTAAAAACTTACTCAGAATGTTGCTGTATTAAATGAACATATTTAAGTTGTATTCATATTTGTTTTCTGTTTAAAAATTTATTTATCTATTTATTTATGTATTTATTACAATGTATTTATTTTGTATCTCAGCTGTAGCCCCCTGCCTCATCTCCTCCCAGTTCTACCCTTTCTCCCACACTTATGTTTTCAAAAGTAACTTGAAGTCTAATCTGAAAACACTTATGGCGGTTTGGTGCTAGCTTGGCCACTCTGAGTGGTGGTACTCAACCATCATGAAAAACATTGGAAGGAATGATAAAGCTTTACATATTCTGGGAAAATACTCTTTACTTTAAAAATGTATTATAGTGATGAAAGCCTTTGTTTACCTAACCTGAAACCTTGAAACCTTAGAGACTGGTGTGCTTGATCCCACAATGATGGTATACACACACACACACACACACACGTATACCATATATATAAAATATAAGGATACATATATTATATATATTTACATATGTACACCATATATATATAAAATAGAAGGAAAATTTTAAAGTAAATGCATGTAATAAGTTGGTAGGAATAGATTGAGAAGCACTCAAGTGGGCTTGACAGTCACTTGATAGCAAGCATCTATTAAGTTAAGAGAACAACTGGCCAAGTCTCCAAGGAGCTCACCAAAGAGGAAGTGTGAACAGTCGGTCTCACTGAGGAAAAAGTGAGTGCATTAAGATGGGCAGTTGCTCGTCATGGGGTGGGGGGGGGCATTCCTATGACTGTAGCAGTTAGGAGCCGGAAAGCAGGGGTTGATGGCGTGAGTCCACAGTGAGACCTTGTTTCTCGTTACTGCCCCCAAATCACAATGTATTTTTAATTATCCTGAAAAGACATGAATGTTAGATTATATAGTCTTTGTAAGATTATCAAGTTAAAGGAAATTTGATAATATCAGAATTTTGAGGTTTCTTGTTCCTGTAGTTTTAGCTCTTGGATTCTTCCAGAGTGTGTAAAAATGTATCAGCAGTGTTCATGGTAACGAGCTTTAAAGAAGCAGAAGATATTTAACACTCAAAGAGAGAACCTGCTATTCTTATTCTGCTAAGTGTACATGGTATTACGATGACTCTTAATTACTGACTACTATACCACAGATAAGTGCATCTCCTAGCCTTCATTAGAGAATCTTTTTATTCAGTAAGTGGAAATTAGAGTAGAGATTTTTTTGTGATTCTTTTCTTCTTCTTCTTCTTCTTCTTCTTATTGTTATTATTATTATTAATTACACTTTATTCATTTTGTATCCCCCCATAAGCCCCTCCCTCCTCCCCTCCCCTTTCTTCATGCATGCTCCTCCCCACGTCCACTATTAGGGGAGGTCTTCCTCTCCTTCCTTCTGATCTTAGTCTATCGGATCACATCAGGAGTGGCTGCATTGTCTTCTTCTGTGGCCTGGTAATAAGCGATGGTACATGTATATTGCACTCCCTGCCACCCCAAGGCTCAAGGATTGTCATGGAAGAGGGGGCTAAAGAAATTGTCCAAGCCAGAGGTAGTAGGTGACTACAAAGAAACAATGTTTTCAAGGCATAACAGGGTTGCTGCATCTAAGAATTCATAGTGATTTTGACAGTGTGTATATGAAGAGTGCAAACGGAAGCCAGATAAAAATCTCCGCATGAGTGGTGAGCTGGGCAAAAAGTGCAGCCCTTTGCTGGTAACTGTTGATAATTCATAGCTTCTGGAGAGGGGAATTCAATTTTCTTTAAGGGTATGACTTTTGGTACATATTCTGACCATTCTCTCCAAGGTAGACCCTGCTCCAAAGAATATTTAGGCAACACATACTAGAGTGAATAGATTAAATAAATGTGAGCACAATGATGGGTAGGTATGGGTGTGAGGGTGGATCTGGGAAGAGTTAGGGCTGGAGGATGGATGAATATGATCAAAATACATTATATGAAATTCTCAAAGAATTAAAGAAAAATATTATTAAAAATAGTTTTATAGAAAGAGCATACCACTTGGCTATTTAATACTAAATGATTAGACCTAAAAAAACACATATAAAAATGACATATAGACTGATCATGTTGTACTTATGTAATTAGGAATATAAATATATCTGTGTAATAACAATTAATGAAAAAAGAGGCAATAGATTTTACAGAGATCCAAGAGGTATATATGGAAGAGTTTAAAGAAGGAAAAGGGAGGGAGAAATGATGTAATTATAGTTGCAAAAAAATAAAAGAAATATTGTACTATTATAAAATAGTGTCATGCAGGATTTTACTGGTCTAGGATTCTAAGATGCTATCGTTATGTAGATAGATGATTAACTATAAATAGAACTTTATTCGTTCTGTGAGGATGAATAGGATGCATCCAGCTTTCTTTTGTCAGGTAAATATATATGGCATATTTGCAGGACGGGAAGTTATCTTACTGTGTGTGCTGCACTGGACAGCTAGCTGCCTACTGGCCGCCGCAGTGCAGTAGAACTGAGAACAGAAACAGGGCAGCTGTGGTCTATGCCCTTGAAGTTTAAGATCAGGATGTGATAAGTGACCTCTGAAAGAAAAAGAACACATTGATGGGGTGACGATGACAGTTAGGAGCCCAGATGTTAGTGCTTTCCCCTCGTTTCCATATAGCAGAGTCAATCCGAGAAATGTTTTATTGGTTGAAAAACGTGTTAGATATTTCTAAAAGTTCTTAGTACCTTGAAGCAATACTTGCTAGATTTTATATTGTATGCTTAGAATGTACTAGAAA